GTCGTTTGCCGAATCTGGTGCAGTTGCGGACAGAACAATTAAGTCGGAGAAAGTGGAGATTATTCCGGATACGGATGGTTGAGCACGCAGCAGCGGTAAGGAGGAAAGACACCAGCTCTCAGATGGCGACTCATTTGACGGGACTCGCACATATTTTCAAGGGTCAAGAGGCCGAAATCCTCACAAGGGGTGACAACCGCATGAACCGCGAGCTGCTCGAGTCATGATTCTCAGGCCCGAAATCCAACAACAAGCACCATTACCTCCCGGTACCATGTTCCGTGTTGAGACATTCAGGCAATCATTCACGTGGGGAAGGCGTGGGCGCTCAACTACTCCGGTGACAGCGGGCCAAATTGGAGGGGGATGAAATTGCCGCAATTAACGACTCGGACGCGGACTGACGAGCCATCGTCGCCCTACTTACGACCCCAGACTTGATCGCGAGAACTGTTGATTATAATACGCATGTGAATCCACGGCAGCTGGTAATATAAATACTACAGTCTTTGTGCATCCATTACCTTATTCCCCGACCGTCCCTGATGATGGGTTCGGGTGAGCAGCCGAAACGTCAGGCCGGTAAACACCTCGTTTCATCGATTGCATCACCTTCTTCTGAACTGCTTTCTGGAACTCGCCTGTTCGCTTCTGTCGACAAAATAACAGCCAGTTTCATCTGACCAGCGTCATATAGTAAGGTGCACATCGGGAATAGCACATGAATGTGGGCGGCTGGCTTGATTCTTTTAGGCCATGGAAAATGCAGGGTATGTACGAACCCTCGTCTTGCCTGTCATTCTGGACTTTTTCCATTTTGAGGGATTTGGCTGTATTTCGCCATGGCGACTCTCCTGTCAGTTAAAACCCCGCCCGTTCCTTTTTCTAGCCTCGCAATTTTAATATCTACGCCAAAACTGGTTGGAAATCGTGTCTTTGAGTCAGGAGATTCAGGAAGTGTGTTTCCAGACCCACAAGACTGCGTTTCTGACGGGGCAACAAAGTGTAGGACCGAGCTCTGGTAGAAGTTCAGTGAAAAATCCCATCTCTTTAAATATGGACGTCGTTAGGGACGCGAGGTTGTTTAAGTCAGCTCGCAAAACAACCAATTTTTTCAGAGATATTTAACGATTGGGGTGTCGACTTCCCTTCTGAGCATTGCGCGGAAAAGTGTCCGGTCCATCCACGAATCCTTAAATGAGTGTTCCAGGACAGTTGTTTTCATGCAAGTAGTTTAAAAAAAATCATGATAGCGTTTCTTTGTCATGGTTTTATGGAAGCAAGTGATCGCTCAATATTCAGGTCTACAGCATATGGAGCGATAGAATCTGTGTTTATTCCAGTCTATTCAACTCACCGCTTTTAGTACATAAATTGAAAATGTGTCAGTTAACTTTCACAAAATTTCGACCCAAACCTCCGGCTTCAAATTCGAGCTCGATCTCAAGAATTTCAATAAAGGGAGATGTCGTACAGCCATTTACGACAATTGTCTTATGTAAAGCATTGACAGTCGATTTTGTCGGAAGTTCAGTAGGTTACCTAAATCATGAAAGGCGCCGGAATTTACGACTGCTTGCCAATCACTCGCAAACCAACACCAAAACGTGGGTACAATTTCAATGTTAGTAACTTGCAACTTTAGGAGAATTAAAAACAAAAGAAATATTAAAGGCGTTGTTCAGAAATGTCATTTTTTAGAAAGACGCAAATTACCAAAAAGGTCAAAAATGGTCGCAATTTGATAAACTTCGTTTTGAGATGTAAAGAATGTCCTCCCATGAAACATTCTGAACAAATATGAAAGCGCAAATTAAATTACATTTAAACATAGCTTTTAGTTGAGTTTAAATTTAATTATCTTTGAAGAATTAGTATAATTACAGGTATTGCGGTTTGTCAACAGCCTACATTCTAAGTAAAGATTTCAAAAGACTTTTTCGAGGATTCGTGGTATCCTTTATGCATTTGAATCGATGAAGATGTGGTTTATTAAGAGAAACGTGATTTTGCCTGATTTCACTGACAAGTACATAATAGGAACAACCGTTTTCATAAGGTCACATGCTGCCACGCCGATCGGTAAATGATACATTTTAATGGAACTGACAAGCGTAGTCGTAAAAATTTCATTTTGTCCATTAAAGAGAACATTTTTTCTGTTAAATTAATTCGTACTTTGCGCTTGTTCAGGATTACATTGGGTTTCATACCGGCCTTGAATTATCGCTGAATATATCATAATTTTCAGTGCTTTAATCCGACCGTCCACAAAGGCAGATTCTGCATTGTGTCTGTTAAAAACTATAAAGTACAGTATGTGGGCTAACTCATGAATTATCAAACGAAATTCCGAAATGCGTTTTCCTTTTGAAAAGATTAATTAAGTAGAGCTTTAAAAATAATCATGCTGCAGCATAATTCTATCATAATTTAAATACTTCTGGATGAAGGCTCACATATAAACTTCTTTCTGGCCTCATGCAAAAACCATACTCTGTACGCAGCACGCACTTTTCACATTAATTTTCGATGTCCTTAAAAACTGAATCATATTTCATGCATAAAATATTGATTCTTTTGCTCATTTGGTAGAAAATGACATCTCTCAACTTTAAACTCGAAGGACAGATACAATTTGGTTTTCAAACACTTTTCCAATTCCCGAATAATTTTGAACCAAACCTGCCGTTACACTAGCATTCAGGGTTTACAAACTATAAGCCCATATTTTCAGCATACGGAAAACCAGACATTTGTCTACGGCGTTAAGAGGAGACTATATGAGGTTCATAAAATTTATCGGTGGATTTGAGTCACATTGTTAACTGTACAAGCCACATTGGTAAATGCAGAGACATAACATTATGAACGGCCATTTCACGGTATTAAAGAATCTCACAGTTAGAAACTGTTTTAAAACGAACTATACCCTTCCTCGGGGCATGTAATCAAAAGGCTTTCCTTTTTACTGAATGAGCCAAAGAAGGAATATTTTCCTGCATATTTTCTGGGAAATATAATTGAATTTTTAAGGGCATTGAAGATCAATGAGCAAAATGCATGCTATTAAAGTAGTTATTTATTGCAGAGGATGATTTTCACAAAGTGTAACTTTTGCATACAGCCAACAGAGTTAATTTGAAAGCTGGTATTCTGAAGTAACTGAATTAGGATAGAATTAAGCTCTATGATGCTCAGTTTTAAAACTCCAAGTAATTAATCTTTTCCAAACCAAAATGCATTTGGGAATTTCGGTTGACCTGTCATGAGTTAGCCCACCTATTGTAAGGTACTCTTCGGAGGCATTTGCAGAACTAGAGGGTGGTTAGGCATTCGTTTTCATGTAAAAGTTCGTTTGGGTCATATCTGAAGGCTAACTCAAACAGGAGACCCCATTATCGAATAAGAGGAGCGTTCACAATGTTTGTCAGAAGCGAATGCGCCTTGACGCAATTAGGAAACTTTCTGTTATAAGTTACCTTTTAAGTAGTGCTTTATTACTGCGCTCCGTTGTCGAATCTCTGTTTTTTAGCATTTTGGTACGACGGGGCCAAGATAAAATGACGCTTTTGGCCGTTTCCTTCAGTCTCTTAAACAACGTTAACATTTTTGACAATAAACGTGTAAATGTGTGTCTCTTTTTATATTGCGGCCATTTTCACGGCCTTTGCTCAACTTTAATCTCATTTTACGATTATAAATGCCCGGCAGAATGGTCACATAAATACTGATATATGGTTAAAACTGCTAATGTCTTGTGCTAGAGACATCTTCCGGGAGGCCGGTGTAAACATCTGTAAAAATGGTTCAAAGTCACGATCGAAATATCTCTCGTTGATCCCAGTCAGTGATTGGTTTAGTCTAAATAACTTTAAGACACTACCGGCCGCAGACGCCATATTATTTTACATTGCCAAGTGCCGCTCCGGATCGGACAAGGGATTACGAACTCTCTTACTAGAGGTGGGCTTGTTCCTACTTCCTATCTCCGTGTGCTAACTTCAACCTTTAAATTAACACCATCACCCCGTTTACTAGACCTGACACCCTTAAAACCAATTCTAACCCTTAGCCTCTGAAATGTAGCGCACAATCACCTGTTAAAATGGGTTGTTCATATTCCCATATCCCATACTACTCTGAATGAGCGAGCGAAATTTACAGGCGTTATAATATTGAACGGTTTCCAGAATATAAAAATTGACAGTCAGTCCAAACCCCTGAAATCAAATTGGAAATTTCCGCATTTTCTTGTCACCCCAAAGCTTTGAGTTCCTTCGTCTCTCGTTGATCCCTAGCTTCTTGGTCAGACTTTCCCCACCCTTTCATTTCAGTTTTTTCGAGTCCGACCGTATGCCTGCAAATGGCAAACAACATAAGTTTTTATCTAGTTGCCGCGTGTTGTGTTTTTTGTGAAAGTTGCCGACTGCATACATATAAGCCATTTAACGTGATTATCTCAGAACTTGGGGACCGAATACTTGAGTTTAACAGAAGAAAAACACTCAAAATTGTATAGTGGGTCAAGAGAGCAAAACGAAGAGAGGCCTGCTAATTACACTATTTTTAACAACAACAGTTCATACTGGAGAGTGAAGCTGGTTAATGCGAAACGCGACTGCCACCTCCACCCTCCTCCCAAAAAAACAGAACACCATTTGCAAAACCACCCGCTCCAGTTTTACAAACGTCACCCACATTTGAAAGCCCACTGTCTACGAATTAAGCAGTTTTCCGCTGCTCCTGCCGATGCACAATGCCTTTCATAGCGCACAGTCTGCGGGCTGAAACCTTATACTACCGAGAGGCATTATGCCATCCACCACGAAAAAAAACAACCCATTAGGGCAAAAAGAGGTGGAGAAGAGACTGAAATGCGGCAGCGGCGGGGCGGGGGGGGAGGAATTAGAGTGCCAGCATGGAAAGAATGAAACCGAGGTGGTGCGGGGAAGGGTGGGAACTAAGTGCACTTACTCGCCGCAGGGGGGAGGGGGTGATCAGACGTGCTCTACAAAGGGCCTGCGGAAGTCCTCATTTGAAACGATGATGATGGTGGTGGTGGTGGTGGCGGCGGCGGCGTTAGCGGCGGTGGTGGTGGTGGCAATGACCGCGGGAAGACACTGTTTCTCGCCTGCCTTGCGAAAGATGACATTGAACAGAGACATGAGCCAGCTAAAAATGAAGGCTTTGATTATTCCTAATGCCCTTAATGCCGCATTAGCATTGGCGTTCATTGACGAATATGGTTTTCCAGACCGCACTATTAAAGACTTATGCGGCAGGTTTTGCAAATCGCGAGTTTTTAGGATGTCGGGTTTATTTTTGGCGGTATCTTTACCCAGGTAGGGGCTGAGTGGGTAAACGTATTCTCCGAATTACTGAGGGCTCGTTGGGAGAAAGGATAGCGGACCTTGTGACTCGAGGATGTTTAACAGCAACAAACAATCAAATGGGAAATGGTTTTTGAAGATCACATATGCCAAATAATACGCGATCTGCTGGTACTTTGTACCAAAGATGTTAAACTTTTGTTTAATGGGGAACTCTACAGACAAATTGACGGAGTCGCAATGAGTAGTCCACTCGGGTCAACCCTCGCCGACGTTTTTATGGGTTACCTGGAAGAAAAGGTGTCATCAAGAGTAAACATGACCACATTATACAGGAGATACGTGGATGATATATCCACGATTGTTGACAACAAGGAAAACGCCTCCGACCTACTTTGTCTGATGAATAATTTGCATCCGAAAATCAAATTTACGATGGAAATGGAGCAGTTTAACAAGTTACCCTTCCTATACGTCCTCATGTTTAGAGAGGATGATGGTTCAATAAGACGCTCCGTCTTCCATAAGATTACGTGGAAAGGGCAATACTTACATTTTAAAAGCTTTGCGCCAATACAATGGAAACGAAATCCAGTACATACTCTTTTTCAAAGAGCGAGAAATATTTGCTCCAGGGAGACCATAGATACAGAAACTGCCCGTATCAAAGAAGCCTTACTTAATCGTGGTTATCCTGCACGCTTCATTCAGAAGTACAGCAACCATTTACGGCCAAAGTTGACGGAACAGTCCGTTCCAAAGAAGCCCGTTATAATATGTCTACCCTTTAAGGGTGACAACGTCTCAAACACAATCAAGCGATGCTTGCGTTGCACTATAGAAAGAACGTTCAACGCAGAAGAGCTTATCTTCATCAGTTCCACAAAAAGCCTTCCGATTAACCGGGCAAAGGATGCCTTGTCAATGCACGCCACCCCAACTTGTGTGTATGAATTCACATGCACTTGCGGATGCAAGTACTTTGGGCGAACGCAAAGGCAATTGGCAACCAGGGCCGCTGAGCATTTGCCTAATTGGCTTTTCAAACAGGAAAATAGAACCCCCCGTTCGTCTATAACGAAAAACCTGTTAGATAGCGGTCATGTTGTCGACCCTAAAGCATCTTTTCGAGTACTTGTCCGAGCACATACAACTCGAACTTTGCGTTATTTGGAAGCAGCCTATATACGGAGGGAGAAACCAGACCTGTGCAAGCAGTTAGATCACGTGATCAATCTGCAATTGCCCTGGTAATCTCACGCCTCAAGCTACTCCTGACTGTGATTTGTTGTTAACATTTCGTCTCCCTCTTTCCTATATGATGCATATGTGGACGTCTTATCTGATTATTCATTGCCTTGAACCTTGACCTTGCTCTTAGGCACTGCCATTCTGTACAAAATCATACTGCTGTGTGCTTTCATTCGTAACCTATGTTATGCAGAGGCGGGCTGCAGTTGAAAAGCCGTCACGAAATTTATTGGCCCCAATAAATTCTGCTGTACACGCTTGTTTTCAATTCATACCCGGGAAAAAATGCTTCAAAATACCGAAATTGTCAGTAAACTTTATCATTAAGTCGGAAACTTCTAGGTAAAACGGAAAGTCAAATTTCATCCTAGACAGAGATCAGATGGATTAGCGAAACCCAGTATGATGATGAATCCCTCCGATGGCGGTACGGCTCGGTTTCACTTATGTCGATTCTAGACAGTTGGATTGTAAACAAGTCGAGCGTGAGTTAAGATCTCAGGTTTGCCTACCTGGGATTGGTTTTATTCAGGGTCATATCGGGGGACAAGCTAGACCTAAGTACTCTCTTGCAGGTAAACTTACTGATCACTGTAGTACTATACTAAGTTGTTCAGTTTTCGGCTAGATCGCATTTGGTAGCCAGGCCCCGTATTACAGGTGGCGGGGGTTTGTTTACGGGGAGCTATTTTGTGGGGCTCCATAATCACATCTGACTCACTTGGCTTCCGTTTTACGTTTGAGTTTAGGATTAGGGTACCGGCTACTGGTTTCCGATTTTCGGGTTAAGGTTATGCCTTTGGGCTTAGGTTTTCGGGTTACAGTTAGGGTTTGAGTGTACGATTAGGTTTCAGTATTACGGTTAGGCTTTCCAGTTACGGCTATATCTAAGGGCTACGATTACGTTTACGATTTAGGTTAGGGTTAGGGTTGCCGTTAGGGTTAACAGTTAACGTTTAAGGTTGTGGTTACGTTTAGAGTTAGGGTTAATGTTCGGATTAGAGTTAAGGTCGTCGTCCGCTTCTCCATTCCTGGCTACCAAATGCGATCTAGCCCAGTTTTCAACCTCACCAATAGCTTCTGACAACTGTGCAGCGAGGCATGATGTATGCAAAAATCTAAATGTTTCCCTGGTGAGGATAGGGTATGTAACCCCTTTGGGTAATTTTTCCAAAATTTACCTTCTCATCTTATCTAGGTAGGTATGGTGTGGTCCCAAACCACAATGGGAAGAGTGAGCTCCGTAGCACGATCGGTGAGCGCCCCTCTAGCATTGTCAATACACCCAATCGTAACCGACAAGACAACGATCCCCCGGGCTCAGGGGTTAGTACGTTGGAGTTTTAACTGTCAGCTCGCCGGATCGATTTTCTGGGTTTGCACACCACAGGGTAAGGTGTGGCTGGCTGACGACGGCTTATAAACCAGAAGTGGCCATTCCAGTCTCTCCTCTCTTTGTCGGTAATGCTGTTCTGTGATTCATAACAGTGTATCTGGCAAAAGATCGGCAAAGGAATCACGCGGTAGGCAGATTTTGATTTTCACTGGCATAATTGACATCAAAGTTGCCCGGAACGGGCTGAAGATTAGGATTAGTATTAGAAGTTCGGTTCTACCCAGGGCCGAGGGTGCCAGACCTGGATTATGATCTGGATTTGCGGTTGAGGCTAGGGTTGGGGTTTGGAATTGGGATCAGGAGTTTGAGCTAGGGTTTTAGGGTTTGGCTTACGGATTTAAGGCATAGGGTTAAGGTTGCGGTCACGTTCAAGTTTTCTTTAAATGCATATGGACTAAGCGTTACTCATTACAGCTATGGTCATGGTTGGGTTAGGGTCCTATTTAACTACGGGCTTCCCAGGAAGTTACAAATCATACCCCTGTCGTTTCCTTTACTTTCCTGAACCGGCTACCTTGAGCTTAAAGCAAAGAGTTGGCTGACTGCTGGATTCATGGTCCGTCTCTGGGGTGTTTTGGATGAGTATGGACGGCGGGGACTGCTCTGCATCGCCTACCTGAGTCGCATCCGTATACTAGCCAGAAGAAGTTCGATATGGGATCAGATGAAGGACACCGGGTTTACCATTCGCATTCAGTTTGTCATTTGTCTGCAGAAGTCCGTTGAATATGATGTTCTCAGGTCGACGAGTAGTACAAATGCCAAGCTCTGTTGCCTTAGATGCAGACTTGGTGTCGGCCAGTCATCTCCAAAGGCTTAGTTGGTCTCCCATATCAAATTCAACTGTTTGTTACCTAACCCTCCGACAACAGAACGCACGGTAGCTGCATAAACCGAACTAGTGATCTTTGCCTTGCCTATCAACGTCCACCTCCCCATTGTCAGACTGTGCACTTACATTCCAATCAAAGAGCGTCCGCGGTCGACGCCTGGCTAATAAACGGTTGCAATTTTACATTCGCTACTGTTCGTTGACTGCCTGTGAAGGTTTGGATAAACAGAGACAAGGGAGATGGTCGTTTCTGGTTTATTAGCCCTCATCAGCCAGCCATATCAATCCTGGGGTGCGTGAGCACCAGAAGTGGGTTCATTAGATTAGTAAATCGACCATTCTAAGCACTACCTCACGTGTTCGTCGTCCTGTCGGTTTTGACCAAACACAGTAGGTGGTCTAACTCAATAAATGTCAACCGAAATTTCGAAATGCACTTTCTTTTCAAAAAGATTAATTAGGTAGGGTTGTGAAACTAGCCAGCCTGCAACATGATTCTATAATAATTCAGTTACCTTAGGATGCCGGCTTTCGAGAGGACCTCCTTGCGACTGCATGAAAGAGCGATACTCTGTAAAAAATGACTACTTACATAATATGCAATTTTATCATTGATTTTCGATGCCCCAAAAATTATTTCTATTTCATGGAAAGCATGCATACAAATATTCATTCTTTTGCTCATTTGGTAGAAAATTACGTCTTCTTCCAATTTTTTACTCGAAAGAGAAGTATGATTCGATTTTCATAAACTTTTGATTTTTTGATTTTGAACCCACTCTGCCGTTTCACTTGGATTCAGGGTTTACAAACTGCATGCCGCATACGGAAAACCACACATTTCTCTACGGTAATAAAGGCCGGTCATATAGAGTTCATAAAATTTAGCAGCGGATTTGATATATATTGTTAACTTATTAGGACACATTGGCAAATGCAGACTCATGACGACTTATCAACAGCCATTTCACGGCATTTAAAAGTCCCAAAATAAGAAACTTCTTAAAACCGAATTACGTCCCTTCTTCGAGTATAAAATTGGAGGAAGACATAAATTCCTACCGAATGAGTAAATAATGAGTATTTTTATACGCATTTTTCATGAGATGTAATTGAATTTTTAAGGTACTCGAAAATCAACGAGAAAAGTGCATGCTACCTAAGTAGTTATTTTTTACAGAGTGTAGTTTTGCATGCAGCCGGAAGGGAGTTCATTTGAAATCCGGCATCCTGAGGTAACTTAAATATTATAGAATTATGCTGCAGGCTGACCACTTTTACAACCCTACTTAATAAATCTTTTCGATACGGAAACGCATTTCGGAATTTCGGTTGACATTTCGTGAGTAGCCCAACTACTGTATATCAGCTATGGTAGCAGGGCGCCCACCGATCAGCTTAGGTGGCATGCTTTCCCCTTTGGGCCTTGGAGCCCAATCTAGCGTCCTACAAACAGTCGAACAGTAAGTTCCAGTGCCCACACAATCAGATTATTGGCAAGAACAAAGGGTACTTGAACGAGTATTTCTGGCTTATTAGTCGTCATCAGCCAGTCTGTTCCCAAATCCAGGTTTGCAGGGCTCAGGACTCGAACCTGGACCCTTTGGCCACGGGACATTCCTAAGTCCCAGGCCGCGGGTGCGTCGTTCTGCTGATCACGGTCGGGAACGCTGGCTGTCTCGGGAGGGCTTTCCAGGGAACAGGGAGTTTGGCAGCCTGCAGGCAGAAATGGCCATCCCCAGTCCACACAAGCCCTCATCTGCAAGGCAAATCAGAAATGGCAATTTTCGTTTTGCAAATCAGGGTATCTCTGTGGGCGCCACTCTCACGAGCCCAAATGTTTCGATCTCAGTCGAAATAGTGTAAGCGCTTGGTTGCAGTAGTAAGGGCGTTGTACGACAATGGACTGACTCGGGGTTCGAATCTCGGGTGTGCAGTGTGGGACTGCAATATCGCTGGCTGATGATGTCAAATAAGCCAGAAATGGCCATTTCAGCCTCTCTATCCTTGCCTTTGTTGATAAAGCACGTTTTAAGTACAGCAGCCTGACTATCTCATTAAATGTTTATCGAATTCTGGAATATGTTTCCGATTCGAGAAGATTACTTAATAGAGTTGTAAAGTCAACCACAAGATATTTCAGTCACGTCGGGATTCCGGCTTTCGAAGGAATTTCGTTTCGTCGTCTGCGACAACTGCATTACCTAAAAAATGACCACTTTATTAGTTTGAATGTTCCTCACTGATTTTCGATGCCCTTATAAATTCGGTTATATTTTATAGAAACCATGCAAAAAATGTTCTTTATTTTACTTAATTTGGCAGCAAATTACGTCTTATATGCAGAATGTTGTTACCGACAATTACAAGGGAGCCAGCCATACCCAAGCCCGAAGTGTGGAACACCCGAGCCTCGAATTCGCGACCTGTTGGTTTAGAAGTCCACGCCTCTACCCACCGGGCCACGAGCCCGTTGCCCTGTCAGTTTTCGATCGGGAATATACAATGGTAGGGGGCGCTCACCGATCGTTCTTACGGAACTCACTCGTTCCGTTGTGCCTTAAGGGCTCTCTCCCGAGCCCAACCAGCAGCCGCACAGCGGCGCATGATATAGGCAGTGAGCGCCCCCCACCAGTGTATATTCCCAATCCAAAAAACCGACAGGGCAACGGGCTCGTGGCCCAGTGGTTAGAGGCGTTGGACTTCTAACTGACAGGTCGCAGGATCGCACCCCGGGTGTTCCACACTTCGGGTTTGGGTGTGACTGGCTGACGACGGCTAATAAGCCAGAAATGGCCATTCCATTATGGGCCAATACCATTCTGCCTATAGCATGCGCCGCTGTGCGGCTGCCAGTTGGACTCAAGATAGAGCCCTAAGGCACACCGGGACGAGTGAGTTCCGTAGAGACGACCGATGAGTACCCTTCTACCATTACATTCCGTCTTCTTTAGATATCATGTTCAAAATAATATCTTGCTCCTATTTATGAGATGGAACAAAAAGGTTTTCAGGGGTTAGAAAGATTTTTAAAAACCGGATAGTACATTTTCTTTAAGCATAAAATTGGAAAACATGTAATTGACTGCCAAATGAGTGCAAGAAATAGTATTTTTTTGCAAATTTCTCATAAAATATGATGTAATTTGTAGGGGCCTAGGAAGTCCGTAGGAAACATTCATAGTAATTAAGTAGTCATTTTTGCGTAATGTGGTTTTTGAGGCGGTCAACAAGACGCTCATTCATAAGTCGGGATCCTCGCGTGCTAAAAAATAATATGACAACTCTACTTACAAAAATTTCTTGTGGTATCACATCAACCGTATACTGTCCACGACCTGCCGGTTCACATGTTCAGGTACTTTGGAGCAAATTGCAGCTCCCATACGGAATAAATAATCAAAAAGAGGCATGCCTAGGCAGTGACAACTTGCAAATTTCAGGGAGCTACGCCTAACTCTGACCTACCTGGGCGCCATAAAGACGTCTACAAAGGACTCCTTCTCTGTCTAATTTTCTCGATGCTTAATGAGGGAATTTTGAGTAAAGTATTTGGAATAGTTTTTCATGCTCCCTCTTAGGGCTGATATTACGCATTACATGAAATCCGTCAGCTGCTGCGAAATAATAAGCAGCGCACTCACGAAAACCTGCGGTAGACAACCGCTGGCTTCACCACACCAGCACATCTTTCCTCACCTACATCACACAACATTAACACCCACCACAGGCATTCAGGTGCCACCTCTCACGCAAGTGGGAAGTGTGCGTCTCGGCTGAGTCTCACTGCGACTCCTCTGCTGCATGTGTAATCCGAGTCTGAGACTATCATGGCGCGTCAAACTCCGTGTCTTGGAAGACCGCTGACCGACGCCCCAACTCAGTCCACGCAGTCTGCCCAGTGGTGTGAGTGTTTGTACGGAGTGGCAGACTGAGCGCCAAATGGACTTGTTGGACACCTCTTGAGCAACTGCAGCACTGCACCAACCGTCGTCTCTCCGTCCACCTCTGCCTCACCTCCGACGCCGTCAACGAACACTGACCGCCCCCGAACCCCCACTTCCATCCTCGTCCTCCTCCCCCTCCATCTCCCCGTCCTCAACTGCCTCAACGTCTGCCGTTGTGGTGTCTGCCACGCACATCAACATTACACACAACCCTGACACACCAACAAACACCAGCACCACTACTGTCGACACCAGAGATGAGGACCTTGTCTGCATCTGTCCACATTGCGACCGTACCTTCGCCTCACGCACCGGCCTGGTCGGTCACTTGTGAATCAACCGCTCAGAGACTGGCGAACTTGTGCCTGGAATACCAACCTACGCCCTCCGCACTCGCCTCCACTGTCCGCATACACTGCACAGGCTTATCCGGCCACATGCGTATCCACGAGAACATGCGGTAGAAACCGCCGGCTACGCCACACCAACACATCCTCCCTCACTAGCGCCACGTCGCACATCAAAATCTCCCACTGCAAGCACCCAAATGCCACCTCCTGCGCAAGTGGGAAATGTGCGCCTTGACTCCGTCTCCATGCGGCTCCTCAGTTGCATGTGTGACTTGAGTCTGGGGCTATCACGGCGTGTCAAGCGCCGTGACTTGGAAGGCTGATGATCGACGCCCCAACTCAGTCCACGCAGTTCGTCCATTTGTGTGTGTCTGCTTGTGTGAAGTGGCGGACTGATGGGCTGAGAGTCGGTCTGAAACGGCTCCTCCTCCTCCTCCTTGATGTGACCTACGGCACTATCACGCATTTGAGAAGTACACCGCTCAGCCACTGTCGTGTGAAATTCTGGTGCTTGTGTTTGGGGGCCAGGTCGTGCATGTGGCATGAGCCGACAAGTTCACTAGATATGTCACTCATCGCACCCATTCCCGCACCTGTCTACTGACCGGCTCGGACAGTGGCTGGGACCTGGGATCGGGATGGGCGAGTGAGGTCGACGACTCAGCGCATTTTCCCCACTATAAACAATCTGACGCGCTTGAAGCCATTACGGTGCGCCAAAAACCCTGGCTCGGAAGGTTGCCAACTGACGGGACAACTTGGACCTCGCAGATGGCTCAGTGTTGTGTATTTGTGTGGAGTGACCGGCTGATGGTTTGGGAGACAGGCTGCAATGGCTCCTTCTTAATGTGACATTTATGGCACTCCCACTCCGTGGGATGTGAGTTTGGTGTGACGGCACGCCTAGATGCGGCTTCGGTCTTGCCAAACTCCATTCTCTTTGTAGTTGGTCAAAAACCTTGTCATTTGTTGTGTGGACCAGGGATGTGTGAAGCGGAGCGTCAAGGTGTGGGCTTGACCATGATATCCACCTGCACCCTCCCCCGCCTCCGGTCTTCTTGACTCTGTCTTGACACCGGGTCCAGATGGGGGAGAAGTGGGTGCCGTAGACGCAGCGCAAGTCTACATTCACCATGAAATAAATCATGCATAAGTCAACGTGCTTGATTCAACGTGTTGTGGAGCACACGGTAGACATCGTCGACAACGACGGTCGAACTATCATGTTGCCAGTATAGGAAATCATTCAGCACTCAGGCACTTTGTAGGGGTTGGAATTCAAATGTCCATTATAGCAATAAATACGACAGATGATTTGACAAAATTTGATAGGTATATAATTTGAGCCAATGTCGCAAAAAAAGTTTACAAGCCGCACGAGCTCGGTATTTAGAGAAGACGGTTCCAGCAAATGATTTGCTTATTGAGATAGTTTTTAAGGTTAACACGGGCACACTGCCTCCACGCTTTCCAAACAGTAACCGCACATGTAAGGTTTTATACGTTGACTAATCTTCTTACCACCGCGATTGCGTTCAGTTCGCGTAGATCACGTAGGTCCCAAAATTCCATTCCTTCATATGTGTCGTTTAGTAATTTAGTCTAGCCTTGTGTTGTACTAGAGCGATGGTATTTACATATGTCAGTCAATATTGTTTAAGTGACTTCTACTTGCTTTCTTCAGACGCACACTGTATGTTAGAAATTAAAAGTGCGTTTGATTTTACGAAATAATTAATCGATATCGTTCAAATCTGTGGCAGTTATCCACTCAAGCTGAGAGTCCAGCTTATAAGAAGAGGGGGCGGGGATCGCTCAGCGACCGCGTTAGGGGACTCAGTCGTTCCATTGTCCCCTGGTATTCTTTTTAATGGACCGCCAGCTGCCGCACACTTACGCGTGATATACAGTTAGTGACCTAACTCGTGAAATGTGTCGAAATTTACGAATGATTGCCAGTCACGCGCAAACCGACATATTTTCATGAGTCCAATGTCCATATTAATGAAGTACCAGTTTAAAAGAATTAAAACATAAAATAAATATTAAAGGCATCGTTGCGTTGTTTAGAAATGCCGATTTATTTTGAAAATCGCAATATCCTGAACACGTCAGAAATGGCTCTAATTAAGTAAACTTCGTTTTTAGATGTACAGAATGTATTCTCATGCCGCAAACGTAGTACATATGAAAGTACAAATGAAATAACGCTTCATAATAGTGTTTCAGATAAGTTTACCTCTAACTATCGCTCAATAAGTAGTGTGATTTCATATATGACGGTTTGGTCAACTGCCTACATTCTGAGTGTGGATTCCAAAACAGTTTTCCGGAGTTTCGTGTTATCCTTGATCTTTTGAGTTAAATGAGATGAAGTTTGACAACAGAAACTGGATATTGCTTGATTTCATCAATAGGGACGTCGCAGGATCAAACGATTTCATAAGGTGACATGAAGTCTGGCCGATCGGTGTCTAGTAAAATTTAAGTAGAAATGATAAGCGTAATCATAAACACACCATTGTGTGTATATAGGGAGAACCTTTCATCCGTTAGACTAATTTGCACTTTTCGTTCGTTATTGCTTACGCTGAGGTTCGAATCGGCCTCAACATATTGCTAAATACTTCATGATTTTCGGTGTTTTCATCCGATAGTCCATAAAGTCAAATCCCGAATTACCTGTCTGTTGAGAACTTTAAAGCAAGATTACTCTTGAAGGCATTTACCGAAGTAGTGAGTGTTCGGGCGCTCCTTTTTATGAAGATGGGCGATTGGGTCACATGAGAAGACTCATTCAAACATCAAAAGTCATTTTCGAGAAAAATGGCTGTTCACAACGGAAGTCAGCAAAAATGTGCCTTCTATCAATAAGAAAACTTTTGGTAATAATTTACCTCTTTAAGAAGTGCTTGATTACTGCACTCCGTTGACGGATATCTGTGTAATTTGCATTTTTGTATGTTGAAGCCAAGTACAAATTTGACACCCTTGGCCGTTTATTTTACGTTCCTAAACAATACTAATATTTTTCTACCGTAAACGTAAGAACATGCATTTCCCTATACCTCGAAGCAATTTTCACTGTTTTTAATCGATTCTAGACTCCGTTCTTTGACTATGAATGCACGAAAGAGTGCCAATATGAATACTGATATTTTGCTGAAACTATTAATGTTTTGCTGGCTCTATTTCTGAATAAGATATGCAAAGAAGCTAACTACACTACAAGTAGTGTTTCATATGTTCAATGCTGGAAATGACCATTCGGTGGTGATCATTTATGTGACATCAGGTAGAATTTTCCAAACGGCAAAACAACTTCAGTCCATTTAAACGAAGGAATCCCTATCTGCGTTATTACTGCACTTATGGGCACCAAATCGCACAGATTTGCTAATTTAAAATTTAGGAATTGACAAAACCTCTGGTTTTCTTAAAATAACCTTTGTGTTAGCAAGTTGACTACCGCGGTTAGCATGGGACATAAAATAAATATTTTAAGTCCAGCTACAGTTGTTTATTAAAACTCTTGCGGGTACTTTACTTTCCTTTTAATAAAAAAGTCGCTCAGATGCGTAAACCGAGTCTAGAACATGTAATAGCATTAGAAATTGCAGAAATATATTTCAACGTCCATTTTCGCTAAAATATACAGATATTTTACTTGATAAGATTACGTAAATACAATTTCTACACACGAAAAGGACATTTCATTGAAGGTTGTGGATTAGCGAACAAAGTGTGCAACGTTAAAGTCGTCCAGGAATTCTCACATCAGTTTCCGTTATCAGATTTCATGAGATGGGTCACGTGCTGTAGGTAGACTGGCATTACCAGCTTAATACAAAATGCCTAAACAAACACATGCAGCGTACTTGTGCACTGCCAGTTAGTTCGTTTAATCTTCTCCCTCGTAAGAATGCCCCAACAGTAACAGTTCCGACTTGATTATCAAACTGAGAGCGAAAGAGCTTTTGGGAAAATATACGACCGGTCGTGCCCTGAGGATGGGCGATCGTTCTGGATGACATTAAATCCATTTACTCAACTTGGATGACACGCGCCACTAGAATGAGCGATTAGGCACCATGTTTCAGGGTGAAGTCCGCCTCCAACGATACTTTCACGGAAGTTGAGTGACTGAACAGTCTTCAGCAGAGCTAAAGTATTGACCAATCAGCCTACGACTAGGCAGTTAAGGGCCTGCAGAGCACTGCCATCAAAACGTCACTAGCTAGCTCAGGTAGCGTTAAACGTACTGCTAAATGAGCTGATTCTTGCTGTCCTACCAACGGTATGCATTAAATGTACTTTCATTCAGGAGCCAAGAAGGAGGATTCGTCAGCCTTGAAATAAAGCTAGATCAGATGTGGTTATGTGGCACCACCTGAAGCAAGCAAACCCCAGGCACCTCTAATACGGCACCGGTGGTAGTAGGGGATTTACAGGTGGGGCTGGGGAACACAGCCCCTAGTTCAAGTAATTGTACCTAAAAGAAAAACAATTCGAAATGCACGTTTGGACTTTGAGGGATTGAGAAATAATTACACTAGCCCCTAACCCTAACCACTAGGTCCCGACACTAATCCCAAGCCACTAGCCCTACTCCCAACGCCAACCCTAAAACTCTAACCGGGGACACGTGCTAAGAGGGAAGATATTTTCACAAACCGAGGGTGAATAAAAAGTCTAACAGGCTTTGGGCTTTTGTTTTTTTAACAAGAAAGGGCTCCGAATGACGACGATATCTATAAAGTCATCGAAGTGTGAAAAGGATGGTTTGTGGGGCCAGACGTGGTTATCTAGCCGCACCTGAGGTAAACAAACCCCAGCCACCTGTAATACGGGACCGGTGCTTTTGGAGGTTTCTATAGGTGAGGCCGTAGAACGCACGGGCGACGTGGTCAAGCAATTGTATTCCAGAAGAGAAGCTATGGGGAATGCACGGTTGTACTTTGAGTGGCTGAGAAATAGTTGCCTTAACCCCAACCCTAACCCCTAACGATAACCTCTGGTCTTAAGCCCTCACCCCAACTCTGACCGTAGTCTCAATCCCTTAACCCTAAGCCTAACCCTAGCCCCAACCCTTACCCTTAACCGCAGCCCTAAACCCTAACCCTGAAACACCCATCGCGAAAGTTATAAGGAGACGACAGGCCGAAAGTCAAGAAGGACCATCGGCATTGGGCCAAAAAGGAAGATGCGACAGCAAAGAAACAAGGCCGCCAACAAAACATACACCGTAACGCACAGCAACACCATGCCAACGTAATCACACCAATTCAAAATAATTAAGTCGGTCGACAGTACTGTGTCCATCAGTGCGGCTACATGACCACATCTTACCCAAAGCTACAAGCATCAATACCCCCGCAGGATGGCAAACTGTGGCTTTTATTGTGCGCCACATGAAACCATCTGTTCCATTGTCCCTAGACTGCCGACGGAGGAGGTTGAGCAACCGAGATGCTGATTGTTACTAAAAATTCGAAACCCATGACAAGGAAAGTGTTGATTCTACAAAATATAGTCTAAGCCACGATGCTAAAGAAAGATCGAAGGCTTGCAGTGTTATTTATGTGCCAAGATCGTGTAACGGTGATCTCAAAATGTTCTTTTTCTCGCATGGCACTCAAGCGGTTGACTTATTGAAAAGGGGCTTTATTAAAACTTTCCTAAGCTTATTGGTTTGCATCGATTTAGACTGGCGCGGTATGTATAATTTGGTACTGACGGAGTAAGCCAAGAAAGGGAATGTTGAATTGCCTCCAAAGGATTCTGAAACCCGAACTCTTCTTCAATGTGAATCGCAAGCTGTGAGTTCGGGTTTAGTCGCTAAGTTGGCAGTTTGTGCTCGTGTAGGCGGATCTGCGATCTCCGTCCAGCTTTCCCAACGTAGTTGCAGTCTCCAACGTTATAACATATATGATGGACAACTGCTGAGGTTTCAGTGGGTAACAGTATATCCCTGGGTGGCATCAAAATACGACTACACCTCACCTCACCGCTCGAGACTCACACCGAAGAAAATGGCCACAGCTTTGACTTTGAAGGAACAGTTGTCTTAAATCGGGGCACCTCATATACAGAACGCTTTACAATTGAGACTGGGTACTCAGATGCCAAGTCCATTGACAGGCATCTAGACCCTACTGCGGCCCATAAACTTCTCCAACACTGAATGCTCCATGGCCAGGACAAGACTACAACACGGAGCTTAAGCATATCGAGCAAACATCGCCCCTCGGCTAATTCGCCCGAGAGAAGAACACGAGTGCAACTGACACCCATTGAGGTGACTACACACAACGCAGGGAGCTGCCAGTATTCACAGACAACGGCCAGAAAGCCAAGGTAGCGAGAAAAAGAAAGTCCACCAGTCCTAGGCCAAATGATTCGACGGTTTATTTAAAATTCTGGTCGATTTTTTTGCACAAACCGCTTTGATAATGCTGATCCGGGTAAGTCTTCCAAATACTCCGTCACGAGATCCCCCTGATTCGGCGAGTTATTCGCTCTGTTTAGATTATCGACACGGATCTCTTACGTTTGCTAACCTGAGCTCAGTAGACACTGGAGATAGACCAGTCGAGACGTCCGCCTGTTGCAGCGCCCAGGATTAGCCTCGTTGCTCTAATGGCGTCGGCGAATGTTATGACGTTCCAGTCGTAAGAGCGAATTGCTCAGCGCCTGAAGTCGACCGTTCTTTGCAGCTGTAAGGTATAAGTAACGTTTTCCCAATGCCTAACCAATCCCCATAGTCCGACGTGTCTATCCTTGATGCGAAAAGACACAAAGCATCCCGCGGGACAGCAAAATCGGCGTTGGAACGCAACAACAGATTCATAAGTGGATCATCGGTGGCAAATTTGGGAAATTAGCCCACATTCCCAGTTCAAAGCCATGCAAAACTTAAGCAGACTCCAGTAGAAGTAAAAACTCGAGGTACGAAAGTGACCGCATTATTGTTCTCTTTTCGTCGGCATCAGTCTCAGCGCCTGATGTTTTTTGTGCTTGTACATAAACGCATCGAAGCCCGATTTCGGTGTTTAACTTGGATGCCATTTGATATGATGCGCAGTTTGTCAGTCTCTGCTACTGAAACAACTTTAGCCGTAGTCAGCAAATGAGGATTATAAGCGACGCGCCCAAATAATGCCACTTCGCACAAAATTTCTCAGGAAATTAAAAAGTGACAACTCTTTAATATTTTAAGATTGATCGCATTAAACGTTTTCAACTAAATAGAACGAGGAAGACTGCGGTTTGATTTGTAATCCTTGCAATCAAGATTAGATTTCTAACTCTGCGAAGAATACGGCGCTCAAGAAACTCAAAAAGCGCTGACATAACAAAGGAAAAAATCGATAAGATCGATAACCATGCATCGGAAAGCCGAGCCACCATAAGAGAGTATGGATTAGCTAAGAACGCATATTCGCACATAAAGTGCAGGTCACTGCGTATCCAGCGCCTATAAAAAAAGACACAGAGGCTCATCTTCCACAAAGAGCGCGAACTCTCATCTCAGGATGAATACCCTCCTTCTCCTAACACTCGTCTGCTTGGCGATTCCCGCCCTCAGCTATGGCGGCTACTATGACTTCAGTGGCTGCAACACCTCCTACTGCCACTCCGGCATGTACCACGGTTACGGCTGCAGCCATGGCCACTGTAGCTACGTCTGCTACGGCAGCTACTGCGGCTACGGCGGCTACGGAGGCTGGGGTGGCTACGGCTGGGGCGGCTACGGCGGCTGGGGCGGCTACGGTGGTTGCCACGGTGGATGGTGCGGCGGCTATGGCGGATACGGCGGTTACGGCTGCTTCGGTGGACACTGCGGCCACTACGACTTCAGCTCCTGTACCACGACAACCTGTGTGTCTGGCGGCTACCACGGCTATGGCTGCCACCACGGCATGTGTGACTACGTCTGCTACGGTGGATACTGCAGCTATGGCGGGTACGGCTACGGTGGCTATGGCTGGGGCGGTTATGGCTACTAATGTGACGAGGGACACTTCTGAGTGCAAACGAGATCACCAATGGCCTCCGGGTGATAGACTTGTATGCTTGTATCGTTGTATGCTCTGTAAAGATCATTTGATCAAAGAAGTCTGTCCGCCAAAGTGTTCCTCTGTTGCTTTTTCATAGTCTGCATCGCCGTCTAAAAGGCCTCATTTTGTCTCATCGGGCATCGGGCGCGAAGAGTTCTCCATATTATTTTAGTACTATGATTTCAGAGCGAGGTTATTCATGGAAAAGACTCCGAAAAACTCGACAGACAAGTTCATTAGTACGTAACAAGAAAGGACTAATACCTATAATGGGTGGATCCAGAATATCGAAGAGAATATCAACCCAGATACCTCCCTACTTATACGTATACCTATAATGCGAACATTCGCCTCTCTTCGAAGATGGCTCACAGACTGGGCTAAGCCATTACTCCCTGGCTGAATAAGGGCACCTAGATCGCTTTAACCCATCCCTGTAGCCCCTCCCCCTTCAAAATCAAAATATGGCCGATCTCGACTCATGTGGTTGGTTGCTTGTTCGTGACCTTTGCCACTCATACGGAGCTTGTTTGATCCAGTATGCGCTCATTCCACTATTTGTTTGTCGTTTCACCTCAACTGTTAGAGGTAGCAACAGAAGACAGTAGCGAACACACAGGGGGGTTTGTAGTACCGATAAGATGCACTTTTTGCGTAACCACATCTAGCGAACCCAGTAGTCCTCGTTTTCAGCAGGAATGTCCCTATTAGATGGCATTATTGTTTTATAGTCCGATCCAAGTCGGTAATTGCCACTACCGTTTGTTACTGGCGTGATAAAGACTCGAAAATGATCCATGTCAATGTTGGCACAGGGAGCGGTGTCCGCAAGTCAACTCTCTGCATGACAAATTGCTAGAGTGGGGATGAGGAGGAGCCTATAAGTTCTAGATAGGCTGATTAGCTCCAAGTTAGCGGTTAATTTCTGAGGACAATGAAAAGCTGCAATTTCAAAACTGGAGTAGATACCGAGAGCACAAAGGGAATGTCGGGAGACCCACTGATGAGCCAAACCTCTCGCAGCTGTGTGGTGCAGCAGCAGAGTACCTGTGAAACACGCGTCCGAACTTTTAGCTCGCACGTGTGCTGCCAGGTATAATATGTCATGCTACCTCTCTATATACTACTGACTACCTGTAGGCCGTTTATGAAAATTACGCGGTTATTCTGCAGTGTCTAATGCACTTAGGCCCCAATATTCGCACCAAAAACTTACTCTGAGTCCATAAGTCCCAAACAGACTGTTTTGCTCCAAGTTAGCAAGTATCTTCTTAGGAAATCAAAGAGCTGCAATGGTTGGGTTTGTTGAATCGTCAGTCAGGAAACTATGACTCAGGTAGCTCTCGATTCGCGTTGGCCAATCCCTCGTAAATGTTTCGGCCAGTTGAATTAGAAGATCTGGGCGCAAGATCAGATCGAGCAAGCTGTGTCTTGACAGTTCGCGCCAGTCAGTCCTCACTGTTGACGCGTGTTCAGCCATCCACATCAAGAGGAATCTTGCTGTTGGTCTGCCCACAACGTTACCAGACCTTGTATTCCGGATAAGAGTAGCATTTGTCAATACACCGATTCGGCCTCTCTACACAACAGCACTTGTGAATGCTTGCTCGGTTTTAGTTACTTGTCTAAAAATCAGAATTTTTTAACTCACACAGTCTTGGTGGTAGACTAGGAAGTAGGGATAAGTCAGCTGTTTGCAGCGTTTGTCCTCCGTTTGGAATCAAATTTATGACAAGGCTTTAAGATCTTAAACTAACATGCTATTTCTTTTAAGCACATTGACTCTTGAATTTCGGCCTATGACTTATCGGAGCAGTCTGTGACCAGTAACTCTGTAGGAACGGCTCTGCGATTAGCTTCGGAGGCACCTATGTTCTTAGATAATAACCATCGCAGATGAAATACGTGTCGAGATATAACTTCGGGCTTTGGAGTATTTAGAGGCATAGAAGAAGACAGTCCGGTTCGCACTGACGCACCTAGGAGCGTACCTGTCTAAACGGCCAGATCTTAAGATATGGCATTGGAAGCTACCGCGACCTTGGTTGACAGGAGACTTACCAAGACTTGCGTTCACCGGATGATTGCAAAGGCGGTCACTTTGTTAGTCTGGAAAAAGACGGAATCGGACTGGGGACGTCTCATTAGTTGTTGAACGTGAAGATTTGGCCGCGTCCTATCTATCAAGCTGCGACTTGACAGCTGGTCTCGGTTCTCCTCAATGTTGACACGTGTTTTATCATTCTCAACCTAAATGATCGCAGAATTGCCATGCTCACAACTTCTTCAGACCCAATAATCGACTAAAGAATTTTTCTTGCCCTGGCGGCTCGGTGGTCGTTTGCTGTCGCTGTTCAATCTCCACATTTAGTGGTGTGAAAATGAAGCTCTCTAAAGGCCTTCTGAAGACGTATGCTTCCAGAAAATGAGCGAAGGAATGAAAATTTATATGCATCGAAAGTTAATGAGAAAGATTCATGCTACTTAAGTAGTCGTGTTTCACAGAGCATGGTCTTCGCAGGCGGCCGAGAAGAAGTTTATTCAAAGCCCGCTATCTCGAAGTAACTGAAGCATCTCAGGATTATGTTACACTCCTATTAATATTGCAACCTTGTCTGAGTAGACTTTTCGAGTCAAAATCTCATTTCAGAATTTTGGTTAACATTTCATGAGTTAGCAGGTCTACTGTACCACTGCCAGTATGATCAGTGGTCGATCGCTCTATCTCCCCGTGGCTAATTATTCTGCATACTGCAGTAGGTGGACTATCTCATGAAATGTCAACCGAAATTCCGAAATGCATTTTCGTTTCTAGAAGATTAATTATGTAGGATTGTAGAACTAGTCAGCCTGCAACATAGATCTGTAATATTTCGGTTACCTCAGGATGCCTTCCTTCAAATGAACTGTCTTTTGTCTGCATGCAAAACCTACACACTATGAAAGCGACTTCGTATGTCGCAGGTAATTTTCTAATTGATATTCGATTCCCCTAATAGTCCACTTATATTTTGTGGAAAGCAAACATTAAAACATTCATTCCTTTTCTTATTCAGTAGATAATTACGTCTGCTAATTCTCTACTCGAAGGAGGGACATGATTCGGTTTGAAAAAGTTTCTAATTGTGGGATTTTTAAATACCGTGAAATGGCCGTTTCATAAATCGTCATATCTCTGCATTTACCGATGTGGCTTGTAAAGTTAACAACATAGATTAAATATACTTTTTAATTTTATGAATCCTATATGGTCCCCTTTTATTATCGTAGAGAAATGTGTGGTTTTCCATACGCGGGAAGTATACGGATGGTAGGTTCGAAACCCTGAACCGAAGTGTGACAGTAGAGTTGGTTAAAAATTATTCGGGAATTGGAAAAAATTTTTTAAACCGAATTATGTCCCTCCTTCGAGTATAAAATTAGAAGAAGACGCAATTATCTACCGAATTGGCAAAGGAATGAATAATTATGTGCTTGCTTTCCATGAAATATAATTAGACATTTAGGGCCATCGGAACTTAAGGACAAATATCATGCTACTTATGTAGTCATCTGTTACCGAGTGTAGTTTCTGTATGCAGCCGGAAGGAAGTTCATTCGTTTGACATTTCACGAGTTGGCCCACCCACGGTATAAATACTTCAGCTCTTGCTCAAAACATTGCGTTTTCCGTAGGTTGTCTTCGATGATTACTTCGGGTGCGAATCCGAGACGTCACTTGAATAAAACCTGTGCTCCATCGATCGTGTCTCCGTCTTACGGCTACTTTCGGAACATGGCTCCCCTCTTCAGTTCTTTAAAATGAAACGAGTCCTCGCAAAAGTGGACTTCCTTTAGGACGGAGAAAGAGTTTTGCATTTTTTGGGTATCAAAGAGAAGAAGTAATCTTACGAACGGAGGACTTATTGCTTTGACGTTTAGGAGGTACATAATTTTGCATTGTCAGAGGATAGGCCAGTATCGTACTCCACACTACAGAACGGTGTTCGCAGTAGCGCCGACTGACTTCGCTCTCAGATGGTGGCAAAGTCTCGAGGTCTCTTGCTCTCTCGTTTCAGTATCGCGACTGGGCATTTGCATCCTATCGATCGACAAAAAGTCTTTAAATCACGAGACTAAGTCGTTGGGCTGCAGCCGATCTAGAGGTTATTCGGGGCTGTCAGCTATCCCATCCGATTCGATTACGGCGTAAGTCAAACCCAGTCAAAGAAAGAGTCCTAACACCCGCAAATTAATGTGCACCGCCCTCAACATGTCATTGGATGACTGATTTCGCTCAGTCTCAAGGTCGTCGGGCACAGACCCACAGTCGGAATGCAAATGCATTGAGTAACGGGAGTTTTTCTGACTTAGAGCTTGTAATGAAACAGTAGGATGACTGAGAACTTGACGACTGTACAGTGGAATGATACGGACTGACAAGTGGTCTTCCAGTTGATGCGGAGATGAGAAATGACTCCCTTTTTAACGGAAGAAAACGACGCACTGATGGAGCGGCAGCTACGCAATCGCCGGATTTGATCTTATTCCTGTCGCTTGCCAAAAAGCCAGGGGAAATTAAAGAATCCATTTCCATCCCATTGTTAACGGCAACTTATTAGTCGTTAACCATGACAGCGCGGCTCGATTTCAATACAGATTTAGTAATGAAATCGATCGTCCAGTTACTCCTAAGATGCCTCCAGCAGTTAAAATGTCCTCCCAGTATTTTTTTATCATCGGTAATTGGTTGTTAATCAGTCTGTTTGGCTGGATCCCCCCAAATAGAGATCTTTTCCGTTATTTACTGTAATCAGACCACATCGGTCGGTGTCGCTCGCAGAAGCACTTTTTCTAACTAGAGACACACAACTTATCTCTATCTGCTATCCTAATTGAAGGGGGTTACTTTTAAGTCCTATCCTGATTATCTAGCACATCTGGGTGGATAGTTTTTGAAAAAACTCGAC